GTCATTCCCTCGTCCAGGGGCCCATTTAGGAAAGTCTTCCTCACATGCAACTCAAGCCCACTGCCCAGTGGCGATGGGGGTCGTTCTGTGGTCTAGCCCCGTCCGCAGGGCCTGGGTCTGGGACGGCCTTGAGCCAACGGGCCGGGGGTCTGGCCGGAGACGTGCCGCCCCCGGGCAGGTGGCGGTGAGCGGCGGGCAGGGCCAGGGAAAGGGGCATCCTTAGGAGCGGAGGGTCTGTCCCCATTCTCACACTGCCTGGCCCTCAGCAGCGAGCACTTCCTGGACGTCCCCCCTCCCGAGCCCTCCCCACTGGATTTTCCATGATGAAACCTGGGGGTGGAGGGAGGGGGGTGTGGCTCGAGGCGCCAGTGCCCGGGGCGCAGTGCCTAGGCCCAGTGCTCGGCAGCGGCTGCGTGGAGCGGGCTCTGACGCCCTGACCCTCCCTGTCCTGTGTCATCACTCGCGGGTCCTTTCAGTACTCATCTTGCCTTTGGCAGAAGCTGGGAAGTCTGGTTCTGATTATGAGGGGGTGGAGCACCTGATTCCAATCTGGAGGGGGGGGAGGAGAGGCTTGAAGCAGGCCTGGTGACGTCGGGGGTCCCCGGAGATGAGGGTGGATGTGACTGGACTCGCCCGCCTTGGTTTTAACTACTTTTGGCCTCTCTGATGTTAAGTAGACAGACTCAGAGGTTGGAGCAGGGGGGCCCTGGGGGCTGGGGGCTGGGTGGGAGGCCCCGAGGTTGGATGGGAAGCCCCCCGGGCAAGGCTGAGAATCATCCTGTGTATCTTGGCAAAATTTGATTGTGTAATTGTGACCCACGAGAGACAAACATTGGCTCCTTTCTTTGGAGCCTACAGCTATCTCTTAACTTCTTCCCCTTCCCAGAAGCCACTAGGATTTTGGTAGGTCCTGGGATGCTGGCCAAGAGGACAAGTTCCTGTCTCTCAGAGGTACCAGAGAAGAGACCAGACTTAAAGACGCCCTAGGCTGGGTCCCAGAGAGGGGCAGGGCTCCAGCTCTCACTCCCGTTGGTACTGCTGCACCCATGAGGAACTTTTAAGGTTCCAAGGATTTGGGGGACAGTAGCTGAACTTCCCGCCCCGACTTGATTCCCACTCTCCAGATTGGGACCGGTGTGGGGCAGTCTGCAGGAGGGAAGTTGAGGAAAAGGTTGACAGTGACAAGTTATGCGGGAGGCGTCCTGGTGGCCGGCCAGCCAGGCATCTTGCTTACCAGTTTGGAGCGTGTGGGGAGCTTCAGAAGGGAAGAGGGGAAGGCCAGGGTGTTGATCAAGGAGAAGCAATTTCTGGGACACACTGACCCTCCCTCCATGCAAATCCCCTTACCTTGATTATGCAGAGGGCCGTCCATCGTGGCACTGAAGGCTGAACCCCCTCTCTCTGGGCCTGGGGCGATCCCATGACTGTGACCGAGTGTGCTCAGAGCCTTGGGGTGGGGAAGCCTTGGGATGGCATTGAGGGCATGGGCTGACCTGGCTGGCAGAGCACTGGGTCAGGGGAACTTCATGGAGGGTTTGGGCACTGGGAACCAGGAAGTGGGGGAAGGGGCAGAGCGGACTTCAGGGGCGGGTCTCGGGGATGAGGACAGAGGGTGCATTGTCCGAACGGAGGTTGCGGCTGGGCGGGAGCATAGCCGCTGGCCTCCACAAACCCCGGTGAAGAGGGAGGGTGAGGGAAGGGTAAGTCCTCCCTTCCCGGGTGGTCCTGGGGGCTTCAGTAGTTGCTAGGAAACAAGATTTTATATGAGAAATAATGCTTCCCAGGAACAGATGTGTAAGCTGGCCCGTTTCCTGAGCTCCCAGATGCTGGGAACTGGATTAGCACTTGACGTGGGGCCCCTCAGTACCAGCTGGGACCACAGCCTGGTACTTGTACAGGAGAAGCTGTGGGGCTGGGGCCCACAAGGGCCCAGCCTAAGTCCACCTTTCCAGAGTTGGACCTCAAATCTGAACCCATGTGGTCTTTAAAGGTTTATAGTAGTTTGGCAGGGCTGACCAGTACTGGGGTCCCTCTGCAGAGAAGCTACACATGCTTCCATGACTGGGTATGGGGAGTGGGGCTGGTCACACACAAGCACACACCTCCTTTTGAGTAGAAAGCCTCCTCTTGGGATGTGCAGTGACGTCCCTATTCCCTATCCTTTCTGTACACAGCCAACACGGACCTCCTGTTACCTTCCTGCATCTCTCCTCTGCATCATCACCTACGCACGCACGAGGGGAGTGGCTGGAAGTGGCTGGAAGCAAAAGCTCGAGTGAGTGACCTCTGTGGGTTTCTGGAAGGGGCGGGGGAGGGCACATTTCTTACCTAAACCCATCTGAAAGCTCTTTTCTTTTTTAAAAGATTTATTTATGCATATAGAACTGGGGCCATGAGGCTTTACCAGAGACAGAGTTGGGAGCAGAACAGGTGGATTGATGAAGTTCCCTGCTGAGGGGAGACAAACGATAGGTTCGCTGTGCCATGTGGGTCAGCTCCTGGCCAGGATCAAACTTGTGCTGAAGAGGCTAGGCTAGCTTCGCTGCCGTGCTGTGCTTTAACTCATGGCGCCACTGGAGAGGGCCCTCACCCCCACCAAACCTTGATCCCCCAACCCTAACAGAAACTTCAACCAAGTGCTGTGGTTGTCCAGGAAAGGTAACCCTCCCTCCAGCCCCGCTTTCGCATGGGACAGGCCTGGGCTTTCTGTCCTCCACCCTGACCTTAAAGGTTCTCTGCCTGGTCCTAACCTCTTCCCTGCCCTGCCACAATGATCAGCATGTCCCTTTTGGAAATTCCCGACTAAGCTGGGACTAAGGGACACTCGGCCTCAGCTGCAACCCGGGTCGCCTTGTTAGCGGGAGCCCTACCTCTGGGGCCAGGCTGGCGGCAGGGCCCTTTCCGCTTCCAAAGGGTGAGGGGGGGGGGGGTCAGCCACTGCCTGAAGGACAGGAAGATCAGCCCCCAGCGCGCCGCTTCTGTGAGCCGCGGAACCTCACTAGTGCTCAGCACCTGGCGGATCCCAAGTTCCCGGTGTCCAGACACAGCTTCCCTGGCAATCCTGCCTGCTCGGTGCCTGCACTGGCCTCAAAGCCCAGAAAGAATTTGAGAGGCAAAGAGATGGGGAAGCAGCAGGGGGTGAAGGAAGAGCCCAATGGAAAGCACAGGGTGGGCGAGGTGTCAAATATCAGCATTAAGAATATGAACTTTAAAGATCAGATTTATTTGGAGAAAACAAACAAAAAAACCCCCCACAACCCAAAGGATGGGATTTTACATCTCAAGACATCTCCCAGGTATTAAGTCTACAGATTACAAATCATTTTCATAGAAGATATTTTTGTACAAATTTTACAGGTACTGAGGAGGGGCATAAATCCCTGCTTTGCCTTAACAGGGGGCGGGGAGGGAGGAAACCAGCTTTTCTGGATACAACTATTTGGAAGTAGACACAAAGGGTAAACCCTACACCTTTTCATCCGATCTTGGGTATCGCTAAAAGCCACTTTTCCTAGCGACTAGTCAATCCAAGCCAATTATTTCAAGTTAGTTCACTTGCTGTACCTTGTATGTTCACTGAATGATGATTTGTGTGTCTACCGCTGCAGCACTCAAGCCAATAGCCCTGCGTGGCCGGACAGAGCCTGGCCCAGGACTGATGGGAGAAGGAATTGCAAACAGGAGGCCGAGAGGTCTCTGCTCTCAGGTACCAACAGTGCTCGTAGGGCATCACCTACTCAGCTGACAGCACACACGAGCACATAAAAGCAGGTGTGTCAAGCTGCTGTGTTCCAGAGAAACCAGGACCTTGTTAAATATTTTCTCCATTATCATTTGTTTTCTCAAGGGAGACTTCAGGGGAAAAAACAGAAAACAAAAAAAAAAAAACAAAAAAACCCCAGAACAAAACACAACACATTGGTCTAGGCCGCCACATAAACGCAAACATTGGTGTGGGATTTCAGTGGAGAGAAGGAAGTGTGTATTAAAAAAAACAAACACCCAAAAACAACCCTCCCCCTCCCCGAACAAAACCTAATCAAGGTGGTGAGGCAGGTTTAGAAGGGGATCAAAGCAGCAGCAGGAATGGACAGAGGGAAGGAGTCAGAGCCAACAGACATAAAGGGGCCAAGATTTGCCTTGAGAAAAGCAGTGACTCCTCACTGGACTTCCAGGGAGCGGAGCTGGACCACGGGAGGTCAGCTATGGCAACTAGAAGCTACTTCTGGGAGGGTAACAGGTTCAAGTAGCACGAGGATGGTAAGATGACAAGTCTAAAGTTTTAAAGCTTCAAGATTTCAACAGGATTTGGATAAAACTGAACTTTGAGAAAGAACAGTGTTTAACTAAGAAGGGTGGACACATTTTGACTCGGGAATTCCCATGACCCCTCGGTGCTTCCTGTCCCAGGAAGCAATCATTCATGTGTTTACTGGAGGTCATCCCCTTTCCCCCTATTACTGGTGCAAAATAATTCATCACCTCCTCAGAGCTGCTTTCCAAACTATGATTTCCCTACGTACTTGGTCACCAACAAGTCCTATTCTTTAGTGGCCTGTGGACTTACTCCCAGCTACCCCCCTGGGGGGTAAAAATTAAGGAATTCCCCCTAGGCTGGCCCCAGTAACTCAGAATTAAATAAGAGGTGGAGCTGGCAGCCTCCTGGAGACTGAGACAACTTCAGAGACTAAACCTACCTTTCCAAGGATGGAAAATTTATTCAGATAATGTTTGAGAATTCATATATGCCACAATAGTGTAGTAAGAATTAAAAGTATAAACCTCGCTCTCTTCCTTCTGCCTTTCCTACTGCCCACCAGAGTCCAGACACTGCGCCACCGTCACCGCCATTTTCCAGACGGAGGCCCTACCACTACCGACACGGGTAACTGCACGTCACAAACATGAGCCACAGCTTTTCCGTTAAAAGCCGTGGTCTCCCTCTGGCTACAACGGCAGTCCTCCAGTTAGTCCAATACTTTAAAGGCTGCAGCAGCATGCAAAAGAATCTCATTCTTTAAAAAAAAGTTAAGAAAGGTCTCCAGGAGATGGTGAGTTTTATTTTATCTTGTCTGGATAGAGGTTTCATTTGCTCTCGAATGTTCCAGGGTGGAGAGACTAGGAGAAAGCACAGGGTGTAGAGGTCTATTCAGTGTAATCTCCCTCATTTTCATCTTCACCATCAACGGAGAGAGCAGCATACTTGCTCGCAGAACTGAATTTCTGTAACAGACAAGAGTGATAAGATAATCAAGCCCTGAATAATACCACATCCAAACTCAAGTTGCAAAAGTCTTGACTATTTTCTTTGAAAACAACATGTGGCACGACTTTCCCAGCAACCCAATACACAGGCCACACCCATGTGCCTGCTCATTAGCATATGTCAGTGAGAAGCAGTAGGGTAGAGGCACAGACAATACCTGTGGGCAAGTCGTGTGAAGAGCAAGACTGGTGAAGAGCACAAACAGGCCCTTCGAGACAGCAACCTTATTTCCAATCACTGTTTGCTGCTCCAAACAAACATAAAGGAATGATCTTTGACACTTACGGAGGCTGGATTTTCTTCGGGTTTCTTTGGCTCAGGTGCAGATCGGGAGTCTTGATCCTTTTTGCCATCTTTCCTGACAAGAGACAAGCAGAGACAACTATCTTTGAGAGAGACCACTGTTCCAGTAACTGAAGTCAAAACACACAGTTGAGTGGCACTAAGTAGGCACCTCCGGGCAACGACCCTTGTTATCTGGGCATTTATGGTTTCTACATTCTCGGAACGGCAGTGTCCTGTTTTGGAAAACTTTAGTTTGTGCACAAGACAACTGGCAATGCCTAGAGAACGAGTAGCTTCTAACGCCAGAGATGTTCAGCTAGCACTAGAGGAAGATGATGCGTGCACGTACTTGTCCGACTCCTTCCAGGGGTCTTTGTTCCCGCCTTCTCCTGGACCACGGCTGCAGTTCCCGCTTTGGCCTTTGGGGGCACTCAAGCCATCGACTTTATTCTCATCTGCTTAGGGGTAGACACAAAAATAAACTGAAGGCAAGTAAACGAAACCACTCCCCTCCTCCTAGTTTCCCTTACACTGAAAAACAAGTGTGTCCACATGCAGAGGAAGGTTCAACCCCACCCTTAACCCAGACTGCCTTCTTGAGCCTGCCTTCCCATGCTGTCTCCCCACCTACCCACCCCAATCCACCAGCAGGTCGCCCACCATGGAGAGCAGGCAGGGATAAGGGCTATGGTGCTGTGTGATGACCTTGACCTCCGACGATGACGTTTATAATCTGGACCAAGCATGCTCACTTCCTTCAGGCTCCCCCCCCACCCCCTTTCAAAGAAATGTTCTACCAGGAAAGGGCAGGGCTCCTGGCTCCTCCACAGAGGTCACTCCTGCCCTCTACTGGCAACAAAAAGCTGAGGTGAAATAGAGCTCTAAGGGCTTTTACATTTAGACCTCCATCTAAATGACAAACACACCCTTTTGGCCTTACCTTTCCTTGCTGGTCCGTCCTCAGATGGCTGAGCGGGAACTACTTTTCCCCCACCACTAGAAGGAAATATGTAATTACAGTCATCAGCTGCTCCCAGGAAGGAACGCTAAGAAACATTCTCCAAGTACAACACAAGCTTCAGAAAGCCAAAAATACACACGAATATTGTGGAACGTTAACATTGGCGGAAAGCCACAAAGACAGCTATCACTTATCTTCACTCATCCACTGCTATGCCATTTAGACTCATCAATCACACAGGTTATTACTCTATTTTACAAATGAGGGCAGGACCCTAAGGTTTAGGCAAGTGAAATGACCCCCAAGGCCATGCTCAATGGTAGTACTGGGTTCTGGTTTATAAAGTTTGCAAATTTCTGTGATGAAATGCTCCTAGGCACATTCAAGTCATCCAAGCTATGCCAGTCACCTGTCAAACTCCAGCCAAGCAAACACGTGGCTTGTATGAGCAGACTCCACTAGCCCCTGACTGAATGTGAACCAAGAGATGACAACCTGCCATTAACCGGCAGGGCATGTTCCACAAACGTCACAACAGTCAAGACGTTACAGAGCTAGCAAGTGCTGCTTCCAAGCTGACTCACCTTGTGGGGGACTGCTGCTCTGTGTCTGAGCTCTGAGACCGGGCAGGAGGGTTAGAACTTCGCTTCACCCAAGCATTCTCCTTTGGCGGAGGGGCTGGCATTACCTTTAGAGGCTGTTCAGGTTTGGGAGGCTTAGAAGTTGGAGAGTGACAATCTTCCTCCTTATTGAGTGTTTCATTTTCTAGAGATTTCTCACTCTCTCTCCTTCGTGCATCTGTGAAGCCCAAATTACATTAAAAAAGGAATATTGTGCAAGCATCAGTTAGGCTTCCAACAGGTTAAGAAAATGGCCTACATCCAATTTTAATCGTTGTTTTTTTTTTTTAACCATCGCCTTAAAGCCAGAACCTACGTTGGCTCCCCAAAGATGCAACTATCCCTCAACCAGTGGTTTCACAAAGCCATTTTGAGAAAATGTTTTACTGGTTTGAGAGAATAGGAACCTCTAAGGGTAGCCATTTGACCCTTTCCTGAGAAGTGTTCTCTATTTTAGTTACAGCTCTTCTTTTAAACATATTCAAATTAGACCAGGCAAAAATTATTTTCTTTTCATTTAATTTAAAAAATCTGTCCCGTGTATTTTCTCTTTTCAGCTCTTCTATTACCTCCCACCCTGTGACACTCTCTTCCTCATTTATCTCAGGTAAGTCCCATGGCTCTCCAGAATGGCCGTACCAATCTGTTCCCACTACCGAGGTACTGACTGAGAGGTGCTCCATGCTATTTCAGGACCGGAGCTTTTCTACATTCCCATTGTTAAAATGCCCTTATTTGGCAGAATCACAGGTCAACTTCCACTCAACAACTCAAACATGTCCACACACCACAATACCAGCATATAACTACATTTATGAAGCAAATGCTGCTGCTTCTTTTTTTTCTAAAATGAAATTATTTTGTCCAATTTCTTCTACATTTAAATGCACACTCTTAGGAAAACCGACATACAAATTAAGCAAATATGGCCCCTACTCGCCTCCCTTCAGAAGCAAATTACGTCAAGCCTTGAGGTAAGATCTGAATGCTCAAGCACAAACTAAAGTAGGAGGAGAAATCTTAACAGGATGACAATGAGGGGAGGAACGGAGGGTAGCTACAACCGAGTGATCCCCCCCAGACCTGCACGCGACCACTCAGTAGGTGGAAGCGAGACGGGGAGGAGCCTGACACTCTGCGCCTGTGGTCCAGGACGCAACTCACGAGAGCGGCGGGCAGTAGCTCGAGCGCCCGTGGGACCATGACCACACTGAATACAGACAAAACCGCAAGCCTAGCCTTCAAGCCCTCTCCTAGTGGGAGATAACGCACAGACAGACCCTAAGTGTCTTCTGGCCCCTCCTGAGGCTTTTTGGAACAGATCGCAGAGTCAGATCTGGCCCGACATGCTAACCCCAACAAACAGCCCATGACTGGGTTGATCACCCTCCAGCTTCTACTAACTCTTTATGGAGAAGTTATGGAAAAGGGCAATAACACGATACCCACCCTGGTCTGACTTACTTCTGCCGGATGTGGCTGAGGCCCCAGTCTGTGATGACTCACTTCCTGTCCTTGACCGTTCCCGTTCCTGAGTTTCTTCACTTCGCCAGCTTGGGTGTCTACACAGAAAAGATGTCACAAAATTCATCATGGAAATATACAAACCAGCTCAGTGAAGGTCACCTGAACCACCCGACCCTGTGAAGGCCATGCCATGTATTTCGCCACACTTGTTTAATGTATGGTCACGGTGGGTATACACAAGATATCTTCTGACCCTCTTTTTCCCTTGTTATTTATCCAAGATCCCAACCTTCTTGGTGCGTTTGGCCATATTTCTGCAAACTAGGTGAGAGCCTAGAGAGCAGTGATTCTTTTTCTTGCAGTGCCAAACAGGTACAGACCATCATTACCGCCAATTCACATTTGTTGCAGGCGTATCCCAGTAAATCTTTTCAAAATTGCGAGGAACAACCCTCCCTGGGTGAAAACTGTCCCACAACTGTAGAGTATGTAGCACCCCCAGCAGATCAGTCTTAAGTGACACCCACAGAGTCACAGGTGGGAAGCCGTGACTGAGATGACCTCACCTCTCTCGGGGCCGTCGTTCTGGCTTCGGCTCATCCAGCTGACGCTGCAATTTTTCCTGTTCCTTCTGGAGCCGCTCTTCTACTTCACGCTCTCTAGCTGCTGTGTCAACAGGCTTTGCCCCTCCAAAGATTGAGGCTGCTCGACTGGACTGGGAGGTGCTGGCAGAGGAATCATCTTCTTTAGGAGTACTCCGAGGCTTTAGATTCAGTTTGGGTCTTTGGGGGGGACCTAAGTTAAATAAAACTCTAAGTTACAGCCTTTAACAATCCTCAGAAGCTGATGCCTGAAAACCAGATTTCCAGACACAGGTCTTATGAAATGCGAGGGACGCAGGTTAGAGGCCTCATCAACTCAGCAATGAAATTGGGATCATAGGAAAATGGGGAGCTTGAGTAACCCCCAACCGATCCTTCTGCTTTCACAGCCATAATGTGGTAGTACCAGACTATGGGATACAGTTAAATGGGCATAATGATACAATTTACTTATAAATTTATAAATAAATCATTTATCATGATTACTATCAAGAAGAAATTTTGACTGAGATAAAACTTGGTCTTGATGGGTATTTTCAGTAGGTTAAAAGCACAGCTTGTAACATGCCAGGATATGACTCTAGTTCCTACGCTTTTGCCTCTGTTTGTAATATAAATCTGACGGTGATTCACAGGGCACAGCATTCAGATTCCATATCTGAATACGAACTGTAGGACCACAGTCTGATTTCTTCGTGGATCCAAGTTGTCAGACTTGCTCAAAATCAGGATCAATCCCTGGTATCTCATTCACACACAAGTTACAGGGGACATAAAAATAGCTTCTCATACCACTATGCTGTTATTTAGTATTTATCTTTCCCAAACATTTTTTTTTTAAACTTTTACTACGTTATCTACAAAACAGAAAAAGGTACTGCTTGGTGAGATCTATACTCTCTACAAAGGTTTTAAGCTAGCAGGTTATGAACTCTCTCCTATCCCTGATACAAAGAGTTTGACTGTCAAAACGATGACCAAAATTAACTGTAGTATAAAGGACTGAAATTACCAACACTTGGTCTGTGATTCCACAATGCTAAGGGCTTACTACAAGGCCATTTAATCTGAAAGTCGGTTCTTATGTTTGCAAAAAGCTTTAAATAAAACTGCTTATTTAAAGCTTAATTTATTAAATGAGGTCATACCATAAGAATAGCTAGGAACTCCTTTTTCCTTCTCTACTGAAAAATCTATCATGTTAAGGTGGGTTAGAAGTAGACCTTGCTTTATTTCTAGATGTCATCCTTAACCAACCTTTCTTGACTTCACAGATTTATCCTTTACAATGTGTAATTTCTATCTGTGCCAACTTAAAGGGGAAAACGATTACCTCTATCATCACGCCTATAATCATCCTGAGAATAATCATCTCTGGAGCTCCATGACCGATCATCTCGTCTGTCATATCTGCCTTCAAAGCGGTCCCCACCTCCTCTGTAGTCATCATCTCGACGGTACCCAGTACCAAATGCTCTTCTGCCACTGCCTATTCTGGAATCATAACCTGCAAACACACGCCAAATCATGCCATCACACTTGAGGACAGAAAGGCAAAAAGATCTTAAAAGAAAGCATGTGAATTTGTGCTTTATAAATGACCTCTATCGTAATCTCTGCTGCCTCGGTCATAACGATCCCGGCCTCCGTATCGATCCATATCCCGACGTGGCCCATCACGGTACCCATCCCGATACCCATCGTATCGGTCTGAATCATAACGATCTCGAATCTCTAGAGAGAAGAAACAGGTAACATCATTCCTTTTTCTTTGACACCCTGATAGAAACATGATAGTCTATGGGGGTTCAGTCACTGCTGTGTTTAGCATAGGAAAACAACACACACACATCATAAATATTAAAAAGCAAACAAAATGAGAGAACTGTTGACATGACAATGGGTTGTCTATTAAATAACAGAAACTAGTATTAACACTCAACACTTTTTACCATCTAAATGGCAAAGATTAAAATAAATGATATGTCCTATCAGCAAAGTTACAGAAATGCCTCAATTCCTAGACATCTGAGTTTAAGAATCACTCTGAAAAGTGATTTCAGAACTATGTATTGAAAGGTTTTAAATCATGTACACTCTAAGCCACCAATTTAATTTCTAGAAAATATCCTCAGGTAACAACTGACCACTTAAAGACACATGTACAAGGACATTCAGTGCAACAGAGCTCATAACATAAAAACCCCTGAGTGTGTAAGCTGTAGATTAAAAAAAAAATGAGAAGACACCCACATAGGGCAATTAAAAACGAAGTGAGAAATTTATTTACCAAGTGTGCTCACGTACAGTGCTCGACAAAACACTCCACAAACCGCATTTTCCACACATGCATGCGTATGGGAGCCATGCTCTCTAGCTGCTGATGTGTGGGAGGTGTATGGCCATGCAGGTGGCCGCCTGGCCAGCAGAGGACATGCGCAAAAGGGGAGGGCAGCACTTAGTAGCTCCAGCTGACCGGCTATATGCTTAATTTTTTTGAGATAATCTGGGAACCCAGGTTTTTATGTGAAAAATCTCACTTTCCAAGCATGAACTAATTAAAGAAAAAAAAAAAAAAACAAAAAACCATGAGTCGAATCATATAGGAATGCAGATCAAAAGGAATCTTATTTCTAGGATTTTCTTTCAGACAATGATTTAATTTGGAAATGGGATTTTTCCCATGCATCCACTCATTCCCTCATTTAATTTCTGGCAAGTTTTATTTCCATAAGTAAACATATTTATTATATATAAAAAATTTTATTTAATTTGGTTAGAAACATAGAGTGCAGAAAAGCAGACATGAGTATGCTGCTAAGACAACATCTGCCCGGGAAACACAGCATGTGTTTAGATTTTCAAGCATTATTTATGCTTTTTCAAGCAGGCCAATGCTTGACAGGACCTCTTGATAGAGGCAGAGCTGATGCTGGGGCCATGAGCGCAGCAGGTCTGGGCAGCCAGAGCTCGCTCACTCACGCCACGCCTGCTGGCTTTAAAAACTCAAGGTTTCAGGTAGGTCCCCCCATCCTATTGCCACAATTACCGGGGTAGTATATTTTTTTACAACTGTTTATTAGTAACATTGCTTTAGGACTACTGACACTACTAACAGACTATACAAGGAAATAACCTAAAACAGGATATTGCTTTTCAATTTTTACACATTTTTGTTTTATCCTTCAAACAAAATAGGTTTTTAGTATTACTCCCCGATTTTATTTATTTATGTATTATATAAAACATTCCATTATATGGACAACTACTAGTCATTTCAAAAAAGTCATCTTGGGACCTCCCTGGTGGCGCAACCAGTTGAAGTGTAGCATTGTGAAGCTAGTGGCAGCCACTTCAGCCCAAGTTCTATCCTTGACCAGGGAGGTGACCCACATGGCACAGTGGACTTCTCCTGTCTTGCCTGCCTGCCCCCACTATGTCTCTGGTGAATCGTCTCACCACCCCTGCTTCTCTGGCCTGTACCCCAATTTTGTATGAATAAATCCTTAAAAAATTTGTTTTTACTTATGCATATGAGAACTCAGGTGTAGGCCAGAGATGCAGGAAGGTGAGAGGATTCACTAGAGATGGAGGGGGGAGCAGTGGGTGGGAAAGGGGAGGTCTGTTGGGCCATGTAGGTCACTGTCCTGGCCAGGGGTTGAACTGATGCTGCAATGGCTGCGGTAGCTTCATAGTGCTATGTTTTTTTAAATTTTTAATTAATTAATTAATTTATTTTATTACAAAGTTTATTTTTACATCATTTTGCACATTTCCCCCCCCCATCTCGATTCACAGTGCTATGTTTTTAACCTGTTATGCCATCTGGGAGGGCCCCCACTAAAAAAACATCTTAATGAGAACAGGATTTTGTCTATTTTGTTCACTGATATACCATGAACTTAGAATTGTAGTTGGCACATGGTAGACACTTAAAATGAATGAATTTTCTGTTATTTAAAAAGTCTTCTCAGGCCTCCCGGGTGGCTCAGGCATTAAGCCACTGTGGCATGAATTCAATCCCTGGGCTGACCCACACGGCGTAGCAGACCTCTCCTGTCTCTACGCTGCTTCCCTCAGCAAGTGTTATTTCAGCTAATCTGCCTGTTCTGCTCCCTGCTCTGTCTCTGGTGAATCCTCTGGCCTGTACTGCAGTTCTATGCATAAGTAAAAGTAAATATTAAAAAAGGGTTCTTAAATAACAAAAAACAAACCACATTTGACTGTTTGCTACTAAAATGCCACCAATTTTTGCATTACTGTTCTTAATCCAGCAATCTTAGCATACCTGACCTTGCAGATTATATTGGGTTTGTTCATATACAATTATCTCCAGAGAGAAGTGCCTGCTCTATTCTGTTTGGTAAGGCAAAAAAATTAGAACTTATTATTTTGGATATTAAAAATGTCTTTTTTACAACACTGTCTACTGATGTAATTCTCTACAGCAATACATTTGTCCTGTAAGCAAAGCCCTCAGGACATAGAAAAACTTGATAAAAATGAACTTACTGTCTCCAAAGCTGTCATCGCCTCTTCTAGGTGGGTAGTCATCAAAGCTGTCTGTGGCAGGACGGGCCCTCCAGTCTGTATCTGTTTTGTCAGAATCCCGATTTCTATCTCGGCCAAAAGAACGGTCATCCCTGTCTACAGAGACATAACACAAAATTCTGCTGAGATTTCTCATTTGCACAGAGCTACCTCTTCCCCAAAACATTACATTTCTTTCATTTCAGTGTTATCAAGTTCCCACTGGCGTAATGTTTATCTTCCTCATCTTTCATATAAGCCAGAAGCCCCGTAATACTTAAATTAGGCCCTTCTTGTGTCCAATGTGCTGCAAAGCACCTAATTTAATTCCCAATTAATCAGGGATTCTCAATTCTCACACTACAAACATTCTGGGCTGGATAATTATTTGTTGCGGGGGGCCATCCTACGCAGACTGGACTAACCTGTACATTGCATCTATCTGGCAGATGGTCAGTTGTACTCCGCACAGTTCTGACAATCCACAATGTCTCCTAACACTGACAGACCGTCCCTGCCTCCCGTGGGGCAAAACTGTTGCTCTAGATCCAGACAGGTCTACACTCTAGAGCTACTACTACTGGTGTGACGACACCAACCATTTTCTGGGAAAGGCTACCTCTGGCTCTGTCACTGCAGGACTGTAACAGAACAGGAGTCCTACCAGCTTTCTTACCTTTATCCTGTGCTTGGTCAGCAATGTCCACTCGAATTCTCCTGTTACCTAGAGACTGAGAGCATAGGACCATATTAACCAACCTTTTGCCCCATTATGCACAAATCCCATGAGTGACCTTGAACGTCTGGGCATAGAAGAAGCACTGGGGGAAGGAAGATAAAGGAAAAACACTGTAATCTAGCCAGCGCTTCAGTACGTTGGCTAAAGAATCCTTTATTACAGATTTGAAAACCGAGTAACCCCTCCGAATCACCAAGTTTAAGTTGGGGCTAAGTAAATATCTGGTCAAGTATTTTACTATTTTTTATGAAGCAAATTTCACAGAAAAACTTTTTATTATCCATGGTAAGGTGCCCACTGTAATAAACTCAAAAGTATTTCCCAGGAAATTAAAGGCATATTTGGGTCCAGGGAAATCAGTCAAAGTGTTACAGAGCGCCCACCACGCACAGCAAAGCTGCAAAGTATGGCTTCTGTGTACTGTGGCATGTTCTTTCATTTTGTATTACCTCGGGGTAAATTAAGTTCCTCTGAGATACCCTGACTTCCCTCCATCATTACCTATTTCTTTTGAAACCAATTAATTCTACTAAAGATGGCCTTTCATTTCACAGTAAAGTCTAAATACAAAGTAAGACCCTAAAACTGGGCCATGATAACATTTTATACAACAGTTAATGCAGCAAATGACAGATTTTAGCCTTTCTTATTTTGGACATTTTCAGATTATAAGACATGGAAAATATTTTAAAGGATGGTGATTTTAATTGTGTCACATGGCAGATACGGATTATAGAATTATGATTTTCAATACAGTGTCTCAACAATAAGTTGTTTCTGAAGTTGGCTTTCTTCCCAAATATAATTAGTCTGATTTATAAAGTCAGTGGAGATCAAAGAAACCAAAAAGGCAGTTTCTGGTTTGGAAATTTTTCAGGTAAAAATGCTGGACTATCCTTGTGCTTGGTGTTAGCCCTTTAAAAACCAGGTCATTCAAATAACAACCCCTCATTTTCCTGTCAGGGTCAACAGCTGACTACTGTCCCTACTGAACCTATAGTTTCTCTGGGTAAGAAGACACCTATGTGTAATGTTGAAGAAACAGGACTAGGGTCCTCCCTGGTGTCACAGTGGGTTAAAACACAGCACTATGAAGTTATCACAGCCACGACGCTGACATTACAGCGTGAGTTCAATCCTTAGCCAGAAGGCCCACATGGTGCGGCAGACTCTCCTGACCCACCCGCTGCTCCCCACTGTCTCTGGTGAATCCTCTCACCACCCCTGTTCCTCTGGCCTGCAACCCAGTTCTGTATGCATAAATCTTAAAAAAGACTTCTAGAAACATGTATTATGACATTAGTGATGCTTCTCAACCCTCTTAAAATCATTAAAAAGCACCATTAAATAACTATCAAAAACATCATTCCTTCCCTGAAAATGAGATGGTTTTTAATACCAATTAACAATATGATTTTTCCTATTTGCCTTGGTCAGGTCAAATTATTTTGGAAAAGCAAAACTATGAACAATGAGGCAAGCTTTTAAGTACTAGACAGTAGAAAACGACTTCACATCAACTGAAGCTGCAATCTACCTTGATATGCTGGGTTTCATCCACATTTTCCAACTAAGTACCCTTTTAAATTATTGGGGCCTACTAAACTTGCTGACGTGTGACTTGTTAGATAGTGAATATGAGTATTTCATTGTTAGTGCAGGATTTTCTTCATAAACCATGGGAAGAATCTTAGAAAGTGATGACCCAATCTAAAATGCATGTCAATAAACATGAGATTTATTAGCTCCCACCCTTATTTTCTTTACCTCTTCATTGAGACTCAAGGCACTGAGCAAGGAATCCAGGTCTGAAAACTCAGCATAACCAAAACCTTTCAATCTATCTGGATTGGTGAGTTCACGTGGTAAACGAACTGCGCTGATCTGAAGAAAAGAAACAAAAATTTCCCAATTTAATTATCTAATTCATTTGAGTTCTTCCTTTTGCTTACTATAAATGCAATCAATTTTTCTGAAATAATTAACACACAAGACCTGCTTCTCTCCAGTGTAAAAACTGGAGCGAAGGGATAGAAGAGACTGCACCATACAGCTGGTTAGACTTTCTCAATTTGGATGCTACGAGCTTGGTTCTCCAGCAGAACAAAACCCCTCGTGACCTGGAGTTCCTTTTATTCCTTGTAGCTCTTGTTACCGCCTACTTTCAAAGCTGTTTGCCAATGAAGAGCAGATGCTAAGAGCAACTGCTTGCCCCCCAATCAGTGATCTATTAATGACCTGTATTTCAGCTGGTTCCCAATTACTTTCAACTCTTGTTTCTTAGAAATTTTACTCCATTTTTGCCAAACAGTTCTACACAGTGTCTTTTTTGGAGACTACTTACCTGTATAGTATTATTATCTTCAAATACTAACAATAGCTTAACTGAGTCAAATGCTGCTGTGAGAGCCCCATGACCTTTGCCCCACTCTCATTCACAGATGCTAAGGCCTCAAAGCTCTGCTTTCTGAATCCCAGGTTTTAATGTAAGGTTAACTTGTGTTTTCTGATTTTAAACCTATAGGATTCTTGCCTTCAGCATCTCAAATAATTTCATAAAATATTCTATGGCACCAGTTTTTCTTCATACAGGGCATGCATTTCCTATTTTAGAACTGTTCCCAAATATTTTGGACTATTTTCCTGTCATCTTTTTGATATACTTCACATCTCTTCTTATCCTTTTGATTCACGACTTTTTTCCTTCAGTATTATGCATGTAATGGAGTTTACCTTTGGCATCACTGATTTGATAATTTATTCTGGTTCCTGACATATAAATGGTCATAGAATCTACTATATAGTAGAGTTAAATTCTACTTTAATTAAACTCACGAACAGTTAAGAACATAAAGGTATAAAGTCTCAACAGATAAGCGGTCATTCAATATTCTCCAAAGAAAGATAATTAGAATGAAATAAAACTCAGATCAGCTTCTAGTTATTTTACATAGTTATACTAAGGAGAAGATGTATAGGTGGCAGCAAAAAATTAAATCAGAAAAGTCAATGCAGAAGCTGGTGGTTAAAAGATGGAACAAGATTAAAGGGGACAGGTTCTTAGCAAAAAGGCACTTTAAAAACTCTTTGATTGGCAAAGACTAGGAAAAACTCCGGAAGAATTAGAAACTTACCTGTTCTTTCATTTTCTGTCTAAAGGATTTTAAACTCAAGTGTGGCAAAAACTGACTTTTTTTGCCCTTCTGGTATCTCTAGACTAGCACTTATAAACAAACACCCTGTATTCCATTAAATGTAGCACCAAGCTTCACTGAATCCTTAGTAAATCAGCAAATATGTTTCTGTTATATAAACCACACATTTGCTCGGTTAATTTTTTATATTACAAAGTTAAAAAGCCTGAATGTCACTGACAGAGTGGCCGAGTTCAGTGATATTTTTTACCACTGTTTATCATTTAACTGGGAATCTGACATTATAAGAGATTCTCTCTGCATCAATATAAGTATTTTTAATTTGGTAACTGATTGGTATCGACATTCTCAGCCAAATGATCTAAATACTTCTTTCAAGTCTACCTACAACTTCAAAAATCTTTTCCAACACAGAAAAACACTTCAGAGACAGTGACAACCAACACATCACTATACCTAGTTAAATGCCTAAAACCTTTATACGTACATTTAATCCTCTAAAGAAATCCTTAATGGAGTCTTCTGTCACATCATAGGGTAGGTTTCCCAGGAAAGCAGTGTAGGGTGGTGATTTGGGAAGACGGCTCCGGTCGATATTGGGTTCCCGAGCAGCCCGTGGAGCAGTGGGCAGGATGGAACGGTCAATGGGAGGTGCCCTATACACGTCGTCATCATTACTGTGCCAAGTTGTTGAAACTAGCATAGAAAAGTAGACACAATAAGAGAAAGTCTCCTTACTTCCACAGTGAGTAAGACTCATGCTAATAGCCAAGTATTAAATTCTAGCAGAAAAAAACAAACAGATAAAAAGGGGGAGGGTTCAGTAGTAGGGGCAACTTTTCAGAAAGATTATAAAATAGCAAAGCAACAGACTCAGTATTCACCATCTCTGTTTTGAAGCACTTCAAGACCTTTCAAGGACCAAATTTTTTTGTTTTTAAAGTTATTTTTATTGAGGTAACATTGATTTACAACACTGTATGCTTTAGGGCTACAGGCTCACAACTCTACAAATATTATCACATCACGCCCAATACCAAAGCCCCTATAACTTATCACCTCAACCCCCTTTTCTGGTACACCAGGTTTTTTTTTTTAACAAACCCATGGTAACTTTTATTCCCCATGCAGCAAAGAGATGGGAGGCTATCACCCACAAAACACTTTTTTGTAAATGTCACTATATATCAGATACTTTATATCGCATTTTATTTTTCTAAAAAAGATTTATTTATGCACATAGAACTGGGGTACAGGCCACAGGTGCAGAGAAGAGAGGATTCACCAGAGACAGAGTGGGGAGCAGAACAGGCAGACTGAATGAGATATACCACGGAGGGGAACAGCAGGGAGACAGGAGAGGTCAGCAACCTGGCTGGGGATGGAACTCAATAGTGCTGGGACTTAGCCCCTTGCACCACCAGGGAGGCCCCTATCTATCTTTTTAACATTCCTGTAAGGTCCCTACCCATTCTTCAGAAAAGGAAATCCGAATTCTTATTCCAAATGTACTTATAAACAATTTTTATAGTCCTTTTCTACTGGACATAACACTTCCTTCATGGGAAAGAATGAATCAATAAATCCCACCCTTAAGCAAAGTCTATGTATTTAAACTTTAGATATTAACACTTATCTATATAAATTTCTCATCATGAAACTAGATCATGAAAGATAATACATTCTCCAGTCTACAATAAAAGCTTTTAGGGGCAAAAATAAAGGTGACCATGCCAGAACTAACACTCAACTCTTCCAAATCACTTCAGTCTTATAACTCATATCCTAAACCTAAAATTTTAAGATTTCAGGTTCTACAAAATGGGTAAGTTCTTTTCAGATCACAAGTATGAACTATTACAGAACAGAGATTTTGTTTAGAATAAAACAAAATTCCAATATGACGGAAAAGGAAAAGAAAAATTACCATCTCCTTCCAGGTCGTCTGTTTCATCAGCCCAGCTGACTGGTTTGGGAACATAGGTACTTCCTCCACCAGTCCCTCCATCCTCAGCCAGAAAGTGTGTTAGGGAGACAGTCTTCCCCTTCTTATTCTTCTTTTTTGCTGATTCAAAAAGGCAAGAGAAAGTTTATTCATCAACAGTTAAGTATTTAGTTGGATAATGTACATGCCACTAAATGTTTATAAGTTGCAGAATACATTTTATGCTATCCCCCTTTTTTACACTAAGCTTATAAAAAAGGGCCCTGGAGAATTTCCAATACTATCTTCCCTGAGGAATATGGGGGGTGGGGGCAATCCTTACTCTCTGCTACACCTACTCATTTTGAGTGGTCTAATAGTCTATTTTGAGAGTTCACATTTGGTCACTGTTACTGTTTAAAACAGGTAAACTTACATTTGTTGCTCCTGGGATACAGAGAAAAAAACCCCACCCCAATGACATTTTTTTTTAAAGATTTATGTATTTATTCATACAGAACTGGGGTACAAGCCAGAGATGCAGAGGGTGAGAGGATTTACCAGAGACAGAGTGGGGAGCAGAATAGGCAGATCGACGAAGTACACTGCTGAGGGGAGCAGGGGGTGGGTCAGGAGAGGTCTGCCACGCCATGTGGTCACCTCTGGGGCAGGCAGGGATCGAACTCATGCGGAAGTGGCTTTAGCTTCTTGGTGCTGTGCTTTAACCCGCTGCGCCACCAGGGAGGGCCCCCAATGACATATTCTTATGACATTTTTGAAGACCGATGATACTTGTGAATTATCCATGAGGTGGGAATCATTATCATCAATTTTGAGAGAAGAAAACTAAGTCTTAGAAAGTTAAACAAGTACCCTAAAGTTACAGAGCTATTAGATGGCAGAACTAGAATAAAAATCAGGGTTTTGGATGCCAAACCTAAGGCTCTTCCCACAGAGCCCTAGCCTCCAAGAATGTTAGTTGTATAGCAGGCTGCCACACCATGAAGTGTTCTCAATGTCGTGTGTAACTGTCCAGAGAAAGACACACAGCAGATATCTGCCCTCTATAATAAACAACGATCTACTTGAACACAACATACAAAGGGAAAGTAAGAAATCTGTAAGAATCAACATTTTAAATACTCCCCAGTTACGAAATCTGTAGGAATCTCAAAATGGCTCCATATAATAGGCTGGCTGTGGCCCATTATCTAGTCTTCAGAACTTGTGAGGTGCCACCAATGAGCAGGTAACGGAAGAGCTGAAGCACTACCATACTAGTGAATGAGCAGGCACTACATGGTAAGAAAAAAGCAAGCAGTTTTGTTCTAGCAAAAATCAGTTTCACAGTTTTCATCAACATGAGCTCCACGTTCCAATACTCACCATGAGGTCTAAGAATCTATAATCTGATGCACTGTTTGCTTAACAGAACGTTGCTCTTTGAGCTGGTACCCACCTTTCTTTTAAAATTCAACTTTCAGAAAATGGAGATGACTTGTTTGCTATGAATTTTTACTACAGTAACCAAGAGAAGGTGGCCCTGAAGTTTCCAGACTCAAGTGTCCCTCAGAGTATCACTTAGGATCAATCAGATTTTGTGTTGGATCTATCCTTTGCTTTGAAGAAAGAAGTTATGCCAAGATCTGAGTTTTTCAGCACCAATATGCAAAGGCTTACTAGAAATTTAGTAACTTAATTTGAATAAAGCATGAAGCGTACTTTTGAGGGAGAACACTTACAGTGGAGTTAGGCTTATTTTAGTTTAATCTTGTATCTATTCTCTAACTCAAAAACAGTGTCTTGGGCTAGCTGTTAGCTAGAGATCCTTAACCTCCTACCATAAGCTAATACCCAATATTAACCTGTCCAGCGGCTGGGAAAATAAAACTGGTGTCAGTCAAGACAGTGATGTTCAACATAAGAATAAGAAAGTATTCTTTCTCTTCCTGTTCTATACACATATGAAATATGCAAACAGAAGAATCTGGCACTAACTTGCCCTTTGGTCTGATTTTGGCTAAAGTCAACTTTCTAAATGAAGGTTTCTCAACCTTTACCCCTTGACTTTTGACAAACAAATCACAATGTTATTTCAATTTCAAAATAATGAACATCATGACTAAAAGAATTAAAGTGCTGTTAGTTTCAGAAAGTCTTTTCAAATCACACACCTCCCTTTCCCTTGTGATTCTGTCAGTGCTCCCCCCAAAACCTGGTTGAGAATCGCTGTAGGACAAACCTTCATTTAAAGACAGATTTCCACAAGCTCTTTAACTTACACCCACATGCTTGTTTACATCTAGCAGCAGCAATGACTCAGTCACAACAGACCAGTAGACTTAAAGGGATTAGTCCTTAAAAAGGAAAAAAATCAGTAAATAAAGAGGATGTCAATGTTTGCTCCATTCTGTTTTATTCCAATAACTGAGAGATAATACTGAAATCCTCTTTCAAATTGCCCTTGCTCCCCCAAGATTTAGATCCATTACATGTTCAGGATTTCAACGTCTCTTCTTTATAAGTAAAGCGTGTTTAATGTTTCAGGTGAATCAACCCTTTGCCACAATGACTGAACTAGTTCAATTCTTAATTTTATTTAAATCTTTAATGTGAACTGGTTAAGTTAAAATCAACCACCTCATAAAACAAGAAAACTGTGTTTCAATAGTGTGAAGCTAAATCCATGAGAATATGAGGGGGACCCTTCCCTTTCAGGTATTTTAGCAAAGTCTCTAAATGCCAGCTGCCTCATTTACAGTGTTAAATTATTAAACAAGTACTTGGTACGGGTGAAGCTCTTACTATACTCAAACAAGTTAAAAGTGTCAAGTCTACAAGTCCTTAAATAAGACAATATACTGTGGCCTTAATAAATAAGCTTAACTATTAGTTTCTCAATTCTGTGCCCCTGACACTTTAGCCTGGGCAACTCTTGGGTGTGGGTTTGTCCTGTGCATGGCAGGATGTTTAACAGTATCTCCAGCCTCTCGTTCAGATGCCAGGAACAAACTCCTCAGTGCCACTCTGACAACCAAAAACGCTGCCAGACACTGCCCAACGTGCCCTATTTTGTTAGGTGGGTGAGACACAGCGGCCCTGGTTGAGAACTGCTGTTCTAAGTGGTGCTTCACATCACTAAGAGGATGAATAAAGTGAGGCTAACTGCACTAGCAGGAAAGTAACGGCAGTAAACCCAAGGCTTTACAGCATGTAAAAGGTTCTCCTTTATTTTCTATGAATGTTTGCCTATCATCATTCCACTTTATTAGTAATAAATGGAGTGATAAAATCTACAGACTGGCTGTTGGTTCTTTAAAACAGAAGACACCTTCAGGCTCTCTAAGCATTTGTTTTAATATTTGTTTTATAATATAGTTCCCCCTACTTCTCCATCTTTCTTAAACTAGCATCTCTTTATTTAGGAAAGGGAATTTATGCAGTTCAAAAATTGAAGCTTTGTCAAAAATTAAGTTCCTTTAATTTCAGATTTTGCCCAAATCCCACTGACCATGTAGGGTTCCCAACTCTTTTGAGTATTGAGCTATAGAATAAGAGCCTGAAGGGCACACAAATCTATGTACGGCCACAGAAGCAAAAAACTGGTCAAGAATCCAAATGCCCACAAATTTGGCAATAAAAATGAACACCCCATAATATAGATCAACCTTGAAAGAAGCTAGGAACAAAAATCCATTTATGAAATATACAAAATGTTTAGATGAGGCAAATAACAAAGAAATAGATTGGGGGAAAAGTCACTGCAAAGGGGTCAAGTGTCTTTCTGGGATGTGAATCCTGCTAAATTCTTCAGAACTAAGAATTAACGATTAACACGTTTCCTTCCAGAATACTGTATAAATGCAATTAATACATCCAAGATACCAGAACCCCTAGAATGACAGTGCTGTTTAGAGTCCAGTCATGCCACAGGCTTCATGAGGTGCAAATATGGCAGTGCTGCACACTGGCTGGGGGGGGAGTAAGGGGGGAACAAGGCGCCACCACCGCCACGACTGAGTTCAGTTACATGATCTCATTTCTGTCCGACTTCATCTGGGCACAACCTGAGCAAGATGCCGCTTTGCTTCTTCTGTACCTTCCCAGACTCTATCATCATATTTAAAAAAGTGCCCGACGCACACCATTCTAACCACGACCCTTGGTTGCTGGAGCGACACCAACGCAGTTACTTCTTGCTCTGAGCACGTCCCTGCTAGCAGGCATATAACACATATTATAAACAAACCCAGGTAGCTTACTCTGAAATGTGAACAGTAAGCATGGAATGGCAAACACCTAAAGTATTTGTAACTATAAAGGTCAGCACTGTATGAAAACAATCAAGTGCACCATGTGCTTTCCATAAATTTAATCCAATAAGAAGCCAAGAAGTCACATATAATGGCATTTGGTGTCATGCAAATGAAAGGCCTTGTGTCGCTATGTGCTATTTTCAATTTTTGAGCATTTTTGTTTCACAAAAATGTTAACCTGTGTCAAACACATTTGATTCCCTACAGATGCGAGCAGAGTCAGTAGTCAACTCTGGGACACTTTCAGTTCTTGAAGGTCAATAATGGACACTAGTATCACTGCACTGGACACTAGTATCACTGCAAAGAGTGAAAAAGGAAATCTCCCTAAATGGTAGAAGCAGACTACAATTCACTAACAAAATGTTAAGATGTATCTTTAAAAGACATTAAGCATCAAGTATACTGAAAAAACACCAGTCTCATTAATACAGCAATATCTGAGAATATCGGTCATCCAACAAAGTCAATGTGATCCGCAGTTTCAAAGTGGGGAAAGAAATCTGACACACCCCAAACTCCTTTAGGGCAGAATGTCAGATCAAACCTTGTGCTCAGACAGAGCACAGTATCTTCATCACATACTACACAAGCTAAAAAGATTCTTGGAACAAAATTAAGGGAGATGAGCACTTTCAAGGGGGAAAGAAAGCATGGCAGCACAGCAGGAACACGGCTGAGCAAATACCTTCAACTAGTTCAGATTTCACCAAACTCTATGGAGGACAGGTTACTATCATTTCTACCACTTCTCAAAATTCCAGAAAAGTTTTGGAGAAAGAGGATATAAATGACCACAGAAAGCTTGTCAAGATGGCAAATCCAGGCCAAATACTTGACTTCAGATGAAGCTTTTGGGCAGCACCTTAAACATCCGGCGACAGGAAACCAATCATGGTATTTTCAAATTGATTAGAGCCAGGAGTCTCAAAGATTTGGACCTTACTCTGGCACTGGCAAGCAGTGTGACCTTGAACAAATGATTTCATATTCTTTAGCTTGAAGCTCTGCCTACAGTATCTCAGAGGATCAAAGGAGACAATTTACATAAAGTGGGCAATGGACCATCAAGTGCTACATCAGTGAAAGCTGTCCAAAGGCACCTCAATCCCCACATTGTCCAAGACACACACAAAACTTGATCTCCCACTAGTAACAGAGGAGGAAAACTTTGTGAGAGAGGGTTGGGGCTCAACAAATGCAATGCCATAAAATGTTGCACAGTCAGCAACTAAATCCATTAGAAAAGCAAGTAACTCCCGTGTATTCTTCCTGATAGGGGTCTACAAAAAGAACACAAGTCTGGCCTCCGGGGTTGTCTGCAAGCACCCCCAGGAATCGTGCAATTACCTGAAACCGGCGAACCCTATCACCGAACTGTCAAAATTCAAACAAAATGGTAGCTGGCAGAATCTTGCTCCCCTTCTCATTTCTAACACCTTGAACGAACCGAGTCTTGGCATGTAGTTCGGACTCGGCCAACGTTAAGGGGAAAAAGGCCTTTAAAAAAACAACCACCCTGGCTTCCTCTGCCAACACGTGGGCGACGCTGGGCGCCCAGCCCCCTCCAATCCGAGAGTTTCAACCTCGAAATCCAACCTATCCAGCCTTTGAGGACCAGAGGGGTCGGGCCACACTCGGAAAGGGCAGGGCGGACGAGCCAGGCCCCACAAGGCGCGGCCCGGCCGCGTGGACCCTTCCCATCTGGACGGCCGCGCGGCCTCCCGG